TTTAGCGATTCGCCGCGCCGTAAAATCAGCCGCGCAGTGCAGTAAATTTTAATTGCTGTCCAGCGAAATCCTCCCGGGAGACCATAAAACCCGCCCAACATCGGACCATGGCCCGGGTGATTTTTTTTATTTTTTATTTTTTGCTGAGTTACCGAACGTGCGCGAGTCAATTAAACGAAACTGAATTTGCGCAAGTGCAATGAAGCTCCCGATTGCGCTACAGTGTCTTTGATTGGACTAGTTCTCGCGCGAAAAAGGGACCGACAGGTCCGGTGCATCCAAAATGGGCAGTCTAAATTTCGATTGACGGAATTCCGATGCCTTGACCGCTCTGCATTATTTAGTTGGGATCACAACTTTCACGCCATTTTCGGATTAACGGCCTCACATTGCATCGGACCATATCAAAAGTTGCTCCAATATAAAAAATGTGCAATATTAAGCGAAGTTTCGTAAAAGCTCACAGTAGCAGGAAAATAAAAATCATATGGTGAGCCTTCCTGTTGTAAAACCAGTTTTCAGTTTTTTTTTTCAATGAAAGGCACTCAATCGCCACCTGTCTGTAATATATTGGGGTTTTTTCATGAAAATATGGTAATTAAAGGCTAGAATAAACTTCGTTTAATATTTTAGGATATATTCTTAAATGTATCACGTAAACATAAGAAACCTGACATTTTAAGTAAATAAAACAACTGTATAACATATGAATCCAAGAGAATTAGTCATAATGTTACAGATTCGTGTTTTCGTTGTTAGATCTGTAAAGTCATAAGAAATATGTCAACATCAGCCCTATGCCAACAGGAACATCGTTCTCTGAAAACATAGTAATCGGCGGTATACATTAGGTTGCATTTTCAAAAGTATAAGAAGGGAGGATTTTTTATCTTAAAATGAAGAGCAACTTAATCTGCCAAAAACACGTCATGAAATAACAACTTAATTTGGGAAAAGGCTACAAAAGAGGAAAAATCAAAAGAGAAACCAGGAAAACTCGCAATAACAGCGAATCGACGACTAATTTTTATTTAATCTTTGTTTTCCGGTTGATAAATGAAATTTGGGCTATTTCAAAACGTTCCAGGTTTCTCTTTTAATTTGTTCCTATTTTGCAGCCTTTCCCCAAATTAAGTTGTTATTTTCTTTATCTAAAAATGATCTTCTGCTCTGATTGTAAAGGGCAAAAAGATCTATTCTTAAAAAAATAGCTGTAAGTCATCGCGAAATAAGGATTGCAAAGTGTAGTAAAATAAGTATCTGATTATGTCTCTGAGGGCCTCTGGATTCGAAACGTATGGCTTGAGAAACACGTGTGCGAAATAGTAGCTTGTCTCATTAACGCGAATTCAGTAATTTCTATGGGTGAATTTTCGTTCGCGTGAATGGAGAGGCTGCCAACAAACCCTCGTTATGACTCCTGCGAGAAAACAACATTAATCTCAGAATTGAAGAATGAAACTTTATATAAAAAAGATAGACTGGACGGACAATAGCAGAGATATATCTTTTGTTACTCCCATTCATGGTTACCCGCAGATAATTTCTGCTTCAAAGCCTTCACCATTATTCCAATCAACCACTTTTGACGTATATATTGGCAAATATATGGTTGTTCTCTTGGTCTTCTCTCCCAACCTCCCAAGCGCTCACCATCATACTCCTCTACATTCAATCTTGGGTTTAATCAAATACATAGATGATAGATAGATTATCCTCACGCAAGAGTTGAAGTAAAGAAAGAATGAGAAATAAAAATGATTCGTAAAATGATACTGATACCTTCTTTTCCTCAATAGAGTATCCTAGAGGAGGATTCTTTGATTTCAGTTCCATGTTTCGCCGTCGCAGTGGGTGAATTTTAGCCATTAATCCAAAAAAAGGTGATTTTTTAAAGCTAATCGTTTGACTGATTTTGAACTAGATAAATCAGTCGATGTTGCAGACCAACCAGATTGGTGTTCCACACCATCTAAATTTTTGTACTCCACTGAAAATAGTTGATGGATGGCATGCGCTCAGCATTAACAGCCTCAATAAAAATGTGTACAGTGTCAAACCTCCCCCGGTACTGATACATTTATTTCACAGAAATGATCAAAATTTTCCCTTAATATTTCAAGGTGCTTCACGTATGTTAAATTGAAAATAAACTCTAATTTAAAAGTTTAAGAATTATATTCAAAAATTGTTCAGAAAGTTTGGATTTTATCCAAGCAAGTTTGACAACGTGAGATGGCTCGCGTAACGTCCTACTCTGTGGGGTGATGTACATGGATAGGTGCAGAATCAATTAAGGTTATGCCTGGCTTAAACGCAAAATTAAAAGAATAAACAAAATCCACCACCTCCGAAATATTCTACGAGAAACTGCAAGATTTTATTTGTTATGAAAAATGCACACCGTGGTTCCCATGAAAATATGATTCCCCAATCACCGTATTGATTGTGCGCAGCTAGAAGACTTAATTGCGAGAATGAGAAAGTAACCAAAGTTGTTATCACTAAAATATTCCTCGTGAAACTGAAAGATCATATTTTTTATGAAAAATGCTAACCTTCGTTCCCACGGCAATATTTTCCCCCATTCACTGTAAAGTTCACGGCGCGGGGACTTAAACGAAAGGTTAAGAAAGTAAACCAAAGTCGTCACTACGTGAAACTGCGAGTTTTTATTCTTCATGAAAAATTCTCATTTTAAATCAACTTGGCTCTAATGACAATACGCTCCCTTGGAGGTTTGTCATGGAAGATGTTGGATTCCAGCCCGTAACTTCATTATTGAGGTATGTCTGTCCCAAAAAAATATTTGAAACTCATTTTTGTCAAAATTGTCAGTTAGATTGTTCCTTAGCCCTCGTTATATAAGAGCAGAATTCCCAACTTTCAGTGGGTATCTCTGACAAGGAACAACCACATTTCTATTACATTTTAAGATTTCAAAGGGTAAATTTTGGTACCAACATTTCTTAATGATAGTTCTAGAGACTGACAGTTCAATTTTTCTGATACAGGCCCACTGAGCTAAAATACCATCATGTATATAAATATATATCATTACAAGGTGGAGAAATGGTGCTGGGTCCACACCATTTCGCGTGGAAATCAAAGCCAAGAAGTTCCAAAAATAAAATAGAAAATAAAATAAAAATAAAATAAAATCGCAATTCCCCGCGAAATGGTGTGGACCCAGCACCATTTATTTACCTTGTTACAAACAATTCGGGCCACTTCTTAGTGTTTTTTATCTCATAAATTTATCATATTAAGATTGTCTTGCGTCAAATCTGAAGACCTACCTCCAGTAATTTTGCAAAATTCCTTGGGGCAAGTCTATACATCAAAGGTCATCGTGGGTTCAATCCTCTTCACGCGCCAAGGACACAGCCACACCATCGTAAATAAAATCGGGCACATAATTCCTCAAATCAACACCTATCATTTGCCTGCCTGTTTGTTTTGATCGATTTTAATTAAGCGGCCCACGGTTCCAGTCGGCGCGGCAAGTGGTTGCTCAGTCACCTCTCAGACTCGGACCGATCATTGTGATATGCTACGGAAAAACACCGTATGAGCCATCAGGGGTTACCAAATTTACCCTGGCGAATCACTAATTTTCAGGAAAATTTTTGAATATATGTCTACCAATTTCTCAGCTAATTTTGTTTGTAATTTGGTCTAAAACGTTTGAAAGTTTCAACTAAGAATATTCATAATTTTCCTCAAAAATAAACATTTTATCGAATGAAATTTGGCAACTCTCGAATGTTCATACGGCGTTCTTCCTTAGCATTGTGATGTGCTGAATAATGACCGGTATCGGCGTGAAATCTCGCGCGCATTTGCAAACGTGCATTCAGCCTGCCCACAGGATAGGATTTAGCAATAGCGGAGGCTCTCTGGCTGGGCCGCGTTCAATTGGAAATCTGTGTTTGATCTTGTAAGACGAATGACAGGCAATTAAATTCGTGTTCATGGGGACAGGATGAGTACTTTCGGCACAAAAGCGCTCCTTGTCCTCATTTTAAAATCAGCCAGACTGTCCTGATTCGAAACAGAGATATATCTTTGTATTATTCCGATATTAATGTTACGAATTGTAAGAAACTCAGATGGAGGTGGTATGGACAAAGTACATATATGAAGTAATATATCAATGGTAGAACCCGACACTTACAAAAGTCGATAAGTATCGCAGCTTCATGACTTCCATTCTTATTCACTTACTTTTGAGAGAATAGTATTTGATATTTTGCGCGGAGATTTCGTTAAATGTTCTTGTATAAATGTAAAAAAAGGAAACCCTGACTGGGTTTTTTTTTTTTTCTTATATTAACAGCACCAAAAAAAGGGCCAACAGAGGTGAAGAGTTAGAATTGCTATTACTCTTTTCGTTAGTTGTTTTAAACAAGCTCATTTCGTCGCTCCTTGACGCAAGGGCGTATACCTCAAATTCAGGATGAGCCTCAGAAAGCATTGACTCATAAGTAAAAGAGGGCTCATTCGGATATTGAGCTACACTGGAAAAAAACACATTGGATCTAGAGTCCAGACTCTTAAAAACATCGAAAAGAAAAAATACTCTTGATTCAATCAGATTCAAGCTTAAATCAAGAACCAAGCCTCTTAATTTGAGCGGATTTCCTTTTGACTTAAGCTTACATCTTATTGAATCAAGACTCCTTTTTCTTGTCGATGTTTTCAAGAGTCTTGACCTTAGATCCAATGTGTTTTTCTTCCAGTGTATGCGTCAGAGGGGTGACGATTTGATTGGTCAACAAACTGAACATCTCGATTGAAGTCACGCTTACTATAATTATTTTGTACTGTAACTTTCTGGAAGAAAAAATACCTTGTACTGCCCAGCAGATGGGAAATAAAAACAATTGAATTTTTGATAAAATAGTACTTGATCGTTGCGCATTGTTAACATACTCCTTTTTTGTTTCATCATCAATTTGACATTTATCAATCTTTTATCTCTTTTCTCGCTTTTTCAGAGCCTCGAAGAAGAAGGATACGATGCAGCACTCCGACTTCTACGACGATGAACTTGACGACTCCGGCTTGGCGCCCCCTCCCAGATCTATCTCACTGGTAAGTTCTCAGGGCGATGCGACCGCAAAGCTCAATTTCAAAATCCTCCTCACGACAGCTGAATTATGCCAGGAACCTACGTCTGACTGACGAAAATCCACGCCTTACTCCCCGGCTCTAGTCGAAAGAGACGTTCCCGGTGGATCATTAATCATGCGTAAACGGCTGCTGCATGTAATCTATACTGATATATCATTAACATACCATCCCAGGGATCTCGCTCTTCTGTTCTTGCCCAACACGAATTGGACGTATTCCTGTCAAACGGAACTATGTGTATTAAGACATGAGCCCTGGTCCCCGTAAGAATACGTACATGACAGGGCTCACATTGTAATGCACACAGTTCCGTTTGATAGATATACGTCCAATTGATATTTGGCTACGGTCGAAAGGTGCTTCGATCGGTTCGATATTCGAAAATCAGGCCCGCTCGGACGGTAGAGCTTTTGACTTTTGGCTCGGGTTTGACCGAGAGGAACGAAGTTTTTCTGCGAAGAAGGGGTGTGCTCGATAGTTGTTTGGTACAGCTCCAGAAGGATCCTTGTGCGGCTGGTTTTTTTCTCTACATTTATTTCACCATTAGAAAATGAGGGAGGGAACTACATATAACAATGGTGCAAGTGGACGTATTTCTTCCAAACGGAACTATGTGGATTATGATGTGAGCCCTGTTATGCATATATTTTTATGGGTGTCAGTGCTCATGTCTTAATGCACATAGTTCCGTTTGGCAGATTAACGTCCAGTTGATTCCTTAATTTCCCTAAATTCGACGGATTTACCCGGAATGAACCTATCTGTATCAGACGTTCTTTAATTCTCTTATTTTTCTTTTATTCTTCTTAATCTCTTATTTTTATTTTTGGAACAGGAAAATAAGCAATATTGTAACTTGATATTTAGTTGGCATAATGTCCTTTAAAATATACCGCAAATTCACCGAAAGTAAAAAGCCGTCAAGAAGCTTAGTTCTCTGTCAAAGGAAATAAAGCATGAGATGAAATTACGCAGCAGTTAGGCTGATACCGCTTGAAAGTTTAACTAATCTAGCTCTTTTTGCATTCTGGAGTGAGAAACCAAGCTACCAAAATTTTAGAACAAAGTGATCATTTTAGCAGCAACTTTGGCCATCTTGGCCATAAATAAATCACCCAACAAGGCTTCCTCAGTTTTAAATTAAAATTTTGATGCAAAAAAGTTGTCCTATGAGAAATGAGGAGCAATTCTACAACAAGCAGACCTTTTTTTCACCGAAAAACTTGCTTCTTCTCTGCGAAACTCGATCCATTTCTTCGTGAAATCTGGTCACGGACAGTAGTCAACTGCATTGGAGCGAATGTCCATTTAGTAAAAATACATAAAAATAAAAAATAATAGACTGTGCGTTCTTGATCTCAAGTATGATAACAACCTGAAGTTGTTGTTTTTTTGCCCCACAATAACGTATTAATATCACACCATGAATTTTTACGATGCAACTTTCTCTCACACTTCACACTTACCGAGGAGATGGTGTGAGGATTCCTCATTTATGCCGAACCATTAAATATTCAAGAAACTGTCTGGAAAAAGTCTTAGCTCTTACTATTCTCGATAAGCTGTCACTGTAATAGTAAGCTCGTTTTGTTGCGTTATCGCCACCCTCAGGGCCCTAACTTCTCTTTTACCCACAATTTTCCACCAAAAACGTACTTTTTTGCGTTTTGCAGGACGATGTATCTCCACGTATTCTCTACGACGCACGTTGACAGTGATGGGAAGCTCCTCCTTTAGCTTGCGGGCCGATTATTGAAATTGATAGACAAAGGAGATATGGAGAGATCCTATTGGTGAAAGCGGGTGGTTGCAATGGACAAAGTACGTAGGTAATAGACTTACTAACGGCAACCTACGAGAGACCCGACAGCTAGTCTATCATTTTCTCCCTTTGTCTGTAAGAGCCACCCGTTTCAACCAATAGGATCGCTCCATTCTCCCTATGTCTTCTTTGTTTATAGCTTTCTCCATCAATTTCAATAATCAGTCCGCTGATAGCAATTTATGGCTTCGCTTGTTAGATGGTCTTGACCCTTCAATCATTTCTATGCTCCAGAAGTTCGTCAGAATGGTCGAAGGTAGCTTTTCCGCAACTTTTACCCTGCCTATTGAAGTGTTTCCCGTCGTTAAAGCTTAAAAGACCGGAAAAATTACCATGAACTTGAATCGAGTGCAGTCATAAAACGCAGCGAACTCAACTGCCTAAAAGCTCATTACTCGCGATTCTAGACCACCGCGCTCGGTAAAAACCGCGTATTTGATTCAGGTTTCAATCGGATTCAGGCGGTTCTTGCAGAGCGCGGCGTAGGAAGCAACGACCGGCGCGCGTTCGCGGCGAATCCGCGCGCGCGCGCAGCGGAAGAAAAAGAAAGCAATGCGTTTACCGTTTAGTGGTGAATATATGAGGGCCATAAATCCATCGGATCAGTAGGCCGTTCCTGCCAGTGTGTAGCCTTGCGTAACCGCAATGAGCGGCAGCACACTGCCGTACCAGGGGAAAACGACGTATGAACCTTCAGGCGTTGCCAGATTTCTTTCAGTTAAACACGAATTTCCTGATTAACTTGTAAATATTGCTCCCTCAATTTTTCAAGTGATTTTTTTTTGCGTTTCGGCCTGAAGTCCCTGAAAATTTTAAGGAAAAATTTGCACAACTTTCCTGAAAAATAAACATTTTATCGAAAGAAGTTTGGCAACTCTCGAATGGTCACAAGGCGTTCTTCCTCAGCACGGCAGCACAAGTGCCCAGCTTCGGAAAAAAAGACACCCTCCTGCATCCCGCATGACACCTGGAGATAATTTACTCCTATGTAGTTGGAGGCTCACGAACTTATTCGGATAGGTTTCTCGTTCGAGAGAGGGGGCATTCCCACGCAGGAGCGCCAAAGGATTTCGGACCTCGGGCGGTTGGCCGATCGGTCCCGAAAAACCTCGAGCTTCGGAGTGCGAGTCGATAAGTTCGGTCTTATTCGGCAACCGCACGCGCGCGTACTGAACCGATTTTTTAAATTATGCAAGCCCGATGCGATTCTCCGGGCGCACCGATCATTTATAATGAATTGCCGAATAATTTGTTTTCTTTGGCGTACTCCCTCTCCCCCTCTCTCTTTGTATGGAGATTACCTAATTTGATAAATTAGCTGAGACACTGAGCGTAACAGGAGCAAGGTTGCTCGAAACAGAACAGGGTCGAAGCGCAGAACGCTTCCTTTGTAGACGAGTATCCTAGCCAAAAAGGCTCCGTCATTCATGAATACGGCGCCTGTATAGTAAGTGTTTTGTTTATGGTAGGTAGAGTGCCTTTCCAGAGAGAATAGATACTGGGCCAGGTGGAGATCCGTATGACGCAGAAAAATGGCGTCGGTTTTTGATGGGAGGGGTTTTAGCAAGTTTTGATGATCATCTACCGATGGACTTCGATGGCTAAAGTATGACACCATGTACCTGCATTGCGGTGCTTCAAAATCTCCGCTCCTCCTTTAATTTTTTGAGGAGAAGCAAGTCAATCATGCAGCTTGAAATTTCTGCAAGAATATTCTGCTTACCAACAGAGAAGAAAATCAAGGACATTTTCAAGAGATCGTACTTTGCATGGTTCTCAATTTTTTCCAATCTGCACTGAATGTTCGCACTTAAATTATATCCCGATTATTCTAGAATGATCAAGATATAAACGATCTAGGAGAGAGGCCATTCATTTTAGGAGATTGGAATTGGTTGAGGAATAGCAAAGTTGAGAGTGGGTGCCTGTCCTCCTTGAGAGAAAATACATTTTCTCTCCTATTTTTAGTAAAAAAAATAAACTCTGAATTCTATGCAGATAAGTAAACTTACACTGAAAAAAATACTTCTGTTCACAGGGCTCCTGCACTTCTTTTGTAACAGTCACAGCAAGCTTCCGTTATGAGGACAGAGTGTTCTGTTCCCACGACCGAAGTTCTGTTCTCACAACAGAAAAATACTGTAAGTGGAACAAAAAACTGCAGAAGCCCTGTGAACAGAAGATTCTGTCGTCAGCACCATCTATTTTTTTCTGTGTATGCACTCTATCCAACTTGCGCGTGTCACTGGGTTAAAATAAGTATTTCTATGCTGTTCACCATCTCCACTTTTCTACTCCTCGTCAAAGTCTCCCGGAGGCGCATTGAGCGCCGTCTGTCACGGCCTTGGCACGCGTGACGTCGCTCACCAACACGAGCCCACGATTTTTCGCCACGATCCTCGCGCAAATTATGCATTTCTATTATGAAAGTTCATTAGCAAGTAGATCTCTCAAGAGATGAGCTTTAAAACCCATAATGGGGCTGAACGGTTATGAAAAGTTGCATGCCACGACGGGAGGCGTATCCCTGCGGATACGGGGAGAGCGGCAGAGGCTCTCGGAGACAGAGCTTTTGCTGAGTAAGCGGCCAGGCCGTTGCGTGAGGCCGAGCTTTGAGCTTTCGATCTTCGCGCTCCCGGGCCCGAGCAACACCCAACGACGAGCCGGACGATGGGCGACGGGCGGGCGGAGCTGCAGTTGCAGTAACTCTTGAGTCTTGTCTTGTCAGAGGTGAAATGTTTGCAGCTGAAGAAAAACGCTCGTGCTGATAACGGTTCAGCCTCAGCCCGGACGACTCATCTCAGCGTTGCCAACCCGGTAAAGCGCGAATTTCCGGATCCATGATTTTGGCGAGAACTTTTGCCGCGCTAAATAGAATATTTGTTACTCTGGAAATTGGCCACTACATAGTAAGATATACAGAATGTCTGGCATCAGGATTTTCCCGATTCTATCAGGATTTGAGGTCAATCAGGATTTAATCCCGATTTCATCAGGATTTGAGGAAAATGGACCACTGGACAAGGTACGAATTTAAGCAATCTGATACATGTTTCTTAACCAGAATTTCACGGAGAACACGATTCACACTACGAAAATTACCGAAATCAACTTCTAACGAAGATATTAACGTTTTTAT